TGGGTTGCCGTGCCCTCCTCCAGGGGATCTTCCCTACCCAGGGATCCAACCTGTGTCTCTTACATCTCCTGCATTAGCAGGTAGGTGGGTTCTTTACCACTAGCGCCACCTGGGAAGCCCTATACAACTAAAACCACATACAAAATGCAACAGTGCTATATGCTATTTTTTTACTCAAATTTTTAAGGTATTTTATATGTAATACTTCAGAATCCTGCCACTGAATACACTAAATCGTGCCACTGGAAACACAAGTTTTTGAAAGGTTGCTTCTATAAAAACTACATTCTAATTTTTAAAAGTACTTTTATAAATTTCCTTTGGAAAGAGAAATTCTATGTAAGAAAGTGTCTCCATAAGGAAATATATTGTGGGAAAGAAAAAGTCAACCATAGAAGGGCCATAAAAACCACTGTTCAACATACAATTAAAGGACACCTGGATTGTGTTTAGCCCTGCCGTGGCTGCTAGAGGTACAGACCCCAACAAGGCAGACAAATTCCTGCTCTCTTGAAGCATATGTTCTAGAAGAGGAAAGATAATAAACGAGTAAACAAATATAATAATACGTAGCAAACTAGGCATTAAGATGAAAACTAAAAATGGAAAGTGTGTGAAGAACTGACTTTAAATATAGTGCAGGGAAAACTTCTCTGAAGAAGTGACATTTAAATTCAAACATGAAGCATACAGTTCAGCAGAGCTGGGATAATTGGATTCCAGCAAAGAGAGTGTGTGTGTAAAGGTCCTGAGGTAAGAAACGGCTTCGCAGTTTCAAGTTCTTGAAAGAAGCCAATTAACTGGAACAGAGTGATCAAAAAGCAAAGGCATGAAATGGGAGTGGAGGATTTTATTGCAAGCATCACAGGAAACAAAGTGACATCATCTTGTTTATGCTTGAAGATCTCCCTGTGTGAAGACAGGACTCATGGGTATTCTGGTTGTTCCTTTTACTTTTAGAAGTCTTTTGAGGTTTGGAGAAGTGAGAGTGAAAGAACAGAAGAAAAAGATGATGTTGAAAATGAACACACTCTTGAAGGAACATGAAAAATCATCTTCATGTTGCCCTCTTAGAATATTATTTGGTTCCTATAAGTATTCTCCTGGATGCTGTCATCCTTGTAAAAGGCCATAATACCACGGGACTTCCCTGGTGGTCTGGTGGCGAAGACTCTATGCTCCCAGTGCAGGGGTCCCACGTTCGATCCCTGGTCAGGGAACTAGATCCCACGTGCATCAGCTAAGACCTGGTGCAGCCAAATAAATAAATAATGAGTTTAAAAAAAGGCCATATGCCATAAAGATGATTCCAGGTTGCTCTTTAGGGACTTGGAATTTGTTATGTGTGACTAGGGAATATCCCAAGAAAGAATGCATATTCTCATACATTCTGTCACATCTGGGCTCTGATGAGAGCAGTCTGTAGATAACCTCTTCCCGAGTATATATTACATCTCTTAGAACAGCTAGAATCAAAGAGGCCCGTGTGCCCTTTTGCAAGAGTAACTCGGGCTCATCCTGGGGGCACGTACAGAGGCACCAAGAAGGAGAGAAGGGACAGGGACCACCTTGAGCGCAGCCCCGGAGGCAGGGGGACCCACATCCACCTCGCTCTTCGTAAACTGCTTCCGCTGGAAAGGAGCTTTTTAAATAAAGCTCGCTGGAATCTGTCTTAGCAGAATGTAAAGAGAGAGGAATTCCTGACCAATTTCTGTCTGTATTGCAGTTTTAAGACCCTTGATTTTAGTTTTTCTTAGTCATTGCTTTGTTCTTTGAACTCGAGAAAGGAGCAGATAGGGGGTGCCCAAGAAGGGAAAAGCCACAGCCACGTCACTTGGAAAGAAAATTAACAGTAACTCCAAAGGAAAACCCACCTTAGCCCAGGCAGAATAAGACCGAATTCTTTGAAAGGCAGTCTTGAAAAAAATCAGAACGTTTTTCCTCTGATGGTTGTGAATCACACTTAGGAACAGCCCATCTGATTTGCATATTTAGGGAGGGACACATTCTGCAAGGAAACCATCAACAGACCCATGTCCACGAGTGGAGAGCAAATTTATCCAGTGGGCTTGTATGGATTTGGCTTCACATTTTAACTCCCTTCATTAGATGCTTCTAGCACAAAGTTGAGAAATCTGTATGCAGGTTAGGAAGCAACAGTTAGAACTGGACATGGAACAACAGACTGGTTTCAAATAGGAAAAGGAGTACATCAAGGCTGTATATTGTCACCCTGCTTGTTTAACTTATATGCAGAGTACATCATGAGAAACGCTGGGCTGGAGGAAGCACAAACTGGAATCAAGATTGCCGGGAGAAATATCAATAACCTCAGATATGCAGATGACACCACCCTTATGGCAGAGAGTGAAGAGGAACTAAAAAGCCTCTTGATGAAAGTGAAAGAGGAGAGTGAAAAAGTTGGCTTAAAGCTCAACATTCAGAAAACTAAGATCATGG